CTGTGCGAGTTTGAGTTCAACATTGGCAATACCCAACAACATCAACAACAAGCTCGGTGAGGTGAGCATATAGCGTATCTTCGATACCAAACCCTCACGCAGTAGTAGTAGTAGTAGTAGTAGTAGTTGTTGTTGTCGCAGTAGTAGTCGTGGTCGTCGTCGTAGTCGTCGTAGTCGTCGTAGTCGCAGTCGCAGCAGTAGTCGTAGCAGCAGTAGCAGTAGAAGTAGTCGTGGTGCTAATGGTAGTAGGCAGTCGGCAGTAGGCATTGGGTAGTAAGTAGTAGTTGCTAATTAGTAGCAGTAGTCGTCGTCTTGGCGGTGGTGGTAGTGGCCGTCTTTTTGCAGCAGCTGCGGTCGTAGCAGGATACTGGCACGTTACCTCATCTTGTGGATGCCGAGGCGGTGGATGCCTTGCTGGGAATTAAGAACACATCCGCAGAGCTTCGCGAAGCCGTGAAAGCCTTCGAGGCGACGCATGGCGACGCTGTTTGATGATTCGGGGGTGTTGAACCTGTACCGACATCATCGGGTATCTTTATCGATGTTAACATTAGTCATTGGTCATCAGGCATTTGACTTACAGTATATAGATGGTCTGCCTTGGTAGTTTATAGATGGTCAGAAAGCGCTCCTCGCCGAGCCGACAGAGCGCTCAGTCGCAGTGCTTGCCCTCAGCTTCATCCCGTACAGTAGTTAGTCATGGAATGGACTGCTCGAACCCGGAACCCCAAAAGAGCACCAGAGAGACAGACAGAGTGAGAGAGGGGGACGTTAGTTTACTGCTTCGCTGTTGAGTGTCCGAGACTTGGTTTCCCAGAGTCCCGCAGTTGTTTTGCCATCCAACTGTTCGGCTGACTCCTCCTTGTGGCAGAGCCGGGTGGAGTCTTCTGCAGAAGCGGTCTGATATTCCAGAGGTGTAGTGGACAGAGCGCAAGACGACTCAACCGTTCTGAAGTTCCACTGGTAACCTCTAAACCCCCACAACAGGGGCAGATGCGAAGAGAGACGGCTTGCTGGGACTCATGCCGCATGGAAGGAAGGAGAGTCATCAGTGCATGCCAAAGTGTGGATCTGGACTTAATTAATACAAATAAGCAAACAAATAAATAATAGATACACAACTACAGACATAAATAGATAAATCTATAAATACAACCCCAAGCACTTGTGAGGCCTGGACTCCTTTCCAATGTCGTCCCTGTGAGGCGTACGTCCCCAAGGAGCACCGTCAATTCTTGGATCGGCTCCGGAACGCACCGCAGTCATCTGGCCTGACAACCGCAGAGATACAGCACCTATATAACTATACAGATTTGATATCTGAGGAGCGTCAAGCGATTCGTCGAGTCCCGCAAGAGCACCGTGGAGGAAAAGACTTGGTATGCTTTGGCAGGCCTCCTTCATGTACTTCTCGAGATAGGCTGGAAAGCTGTCGGAGCGTGCCGAAGCGAGAAGTCGACCAATGTAACTGAAAGATAGCTAGCTGACTGGCCGCTCAAAGCTTCAAACCATCAGACCCGGTGCCTTCAGCCACACCATCTTGAAATGCCTTGCTTGGCCAGGTGCCTTCAACGCATGCATTTCGCGAGTGCTTGACTTCCGATGGAGGCCGGGGGCTTGAAAAGAAGCAATGTGAGTCGAATTTGTTTTCCACTGTGATTTCGCGGTGCGTGAAGAAGGGACCCCAAGCAAAATCGCGAGCCCGCAGACAACACCAACACAAGCTTTAAGGGCAGACGCTAGATGAACCTATGTTGAGGAGGCTCCGCCTAGATGATTTGATTGATGTCAAGAAGCCCTGGCCATATCATTGCCGTAAGCCCACACTTAACTTAAGCCTTCCGAGTCGCATGCATGTTTGTAGAGAGAGAGAGAGAGACAGGCACTGGAGCTTTGTAGAGCAATTCATCGTGCGGCCGTCAACTGCTGGCTTCTCTTCCAGCGCGGGCTCGGTCTGCCCGGTGATCCATGCGGACAGCGCCTCGTCGGGATAGCCAAAGTTAGGGGCGCCAGACGTCTTTTGTGACCGAGTTCGGCATGGTAGAGACTTGGAAGAATAGCCGCACTGGCCACAGTGATTGTCAAGCATGAACTTCGTTGTTCACGTCTACATGGATGTGAAGTGCAGCAGGCCGGGCATGGTGTGCGGCGTATGTATATAGATGTTAATGTTTATGCATATGTGTGTGTGGGTCTGTGTGTTTGTGTGCGCATGCATATGCATGTTATGTATACATGCATACATACATACATACATACATACATACATATATATATATATATTTATATTTATGTATGTATGTATGTATGTATGTATGTATGTATGTATGTATGTATGTATGTATGTATGTATGTATAGATATTATATACATATGTTTTTCTATATATATATATATATATATGTCGGTTTAGGGTTAAGG